ATATATTGAAGCAACAATGCTTTTGACTTCGATGATTTCCTCATTATCAACCTATTTTGAATGTCTTCGTTGTTATTCGCTAGAGCATAACTTAATTCTTAACTAGAAAGTTTAATATATCAACAAAGTTTTAATAATAGTGGATGAAATATAATTCTATGTAAGATGAACCGAAAGAAATCTCTCCAAAGTTTGGATGCTAAGGCTCTATAAGAAAATATCATGTCTATTGTCTGGACGTACGAACGATGATAAATATCACATCACGCAGTGCGTCTCAAGGCATGCCGTGATCTACGCCATCCATTACACTTCCGATTTACTGAATGTAATATTTTCTCCTATCCACTGAAAGGTACTTCAAGCATATAAATTTCATATTGTTATGACGGTATTGATTTTTTTCTCAAATTGTAAAGAGATAAGACGTTCCTTTAGTACCAATATTATCTCGACCAAACACTTGAAGTTTTAATATGTATTGAAATTAATATTAATCGGAATATTCAAATGATCTTTAAATTCGGAATGCTTACTGTAAATCCAACATCTCGATGATGAGAGCAATCTAAAGAACACAAGCTCGCTGAATTTTAAGATCATTAAGTAGCTTAAATGTTAATTTATTTATAAATTTTTAAAAGATTATTGTAAATTTAGTCAAAATTTCTAAACATGTTTTCAAACTGGTCACACTAATTCTCTTAATTCATATCATTATTTAGATATTTAAGTATTTTAATGATATTAAAATCTAATAATATTGGACTTCTTAGATTTCTCGTCTACACAATCATTTGTTGGGTAATGTGGAAACCCGGTCTACCGAATTTAATGAGTTTCTTAATTAAATATCTCACCTACCGCTCACCTACCACACTCACCTACCGCTCACCTATCTCCCACCTACCGCTCTCATGGTTTCTATAAATAGTCTCTTTTGGTTTAAAGGAAATGCAAGTCAAGCAAAGCCAAACAAGGCTAAACCAAGTCCACTTGAGAGCTAAAAGAAAGAGAGAAAAAGAGAGAGAGAGAGAGAGAGGAAGTGATAGAAGAAAATAGAGATTTTCTTGTAAACGTCGAAGTGTTCGACGGTGTAATTCCTTGAAGTAGTAAAATCCTCTGCAGCTCCGTGAACGTAGGCAATTTTGCCGAACCACGTAAATATGTGTGTCGCTCTGGTGTTTTTTCTGCATGCAATTTTTCTTGTTTCATTTTTCGCTTTATTGCCATAGTTTTCACAACATCATTTTGATTTGAAGTACATAAGATTAAAAGTAAATCGAAATTCAAGTCGATCTAAATTTAATTTTTAAAAAAATTATAATTCAAAATCATGTCGGATTTTATATTTGAATATTAATTGTATATATATTTTTCATCCTATTGCTCAAGATTTCAAATAACTTAAATAATATCTCCACTTTAAAATTCATTAAATAAATAAATAAAATTAAAATGGGCGAAAGGTAGTTGGCGTGCAGGTACGATATTTTAATCAGTTAGTCCCTAGGATTCCTGATCCTCTGAGAGACAATGGTTTATATATATATATA